TCAAACCATGTGCTGTCTTCAAACCACGTGCTGTCTTCAAACCATGTGCTGTCTTCAAACCACGTTCTGTCTTCAAACCATGTGCTGTCTTCAAACCATGTGCTGTCTTCATTTCTCTTTTAATTAATCGCCACAGAAAGCAGCTGACTTGTTTAATGTCCACCAATATCCAGGTCAAGACAATCTGTCCACTGGACAAGTCATATCTGCGCTCCTCAAAGCGGGTCTTTTGTGAAAGACAAAGCAAGAAGAAACCTATCACTGCATATAATCCTGAACACACAGTCCCTGGATGAAACACGGTGGTGGAAGCATCATGCTGTGGGGATGCTGTTCCAACAGGGACAGGGACACACAAACCTGTTAGAGGCTGCAAAAGACCTGAGACTGGGGTGGAGGTTCACCTTCCAGCAGGACGACCCGGAACACCCAACCAGAACTCAAATGGAACGGGTCAGGTCAAAACAGATTCATGGGTTAGACCAAGTCCAGACCTGAGACTCTGTGGCAGCGCTTAAAAACTGCTGACGCTCTTCATCCATCCTGACTGAGCTGCAGATGTTTAACAAAGAAGAACGAGCAAAACGTTCTGTCTCCAGATGCTCAGAGGTGCTGGAGACAAAGACGCAGCTGGAACTGCAGCCAGAGAGGATTTAATGATTTCATGTTTCACACATATGCTCTGCTTTGTGTTGCTCTTCTTTTCATCAACGTGCCAAACGTTCAGCTCGTGTTATTTACACATCCTGGGTTTCATCAGTCAGCTGGAAACTTTCAGAAAGACTAGACGAAGACAAATCACCTGCTGGTGTGCAAAGCCTTTTTTTTTTAAGTTGCTTTGAGGTTCAAGTGCATATTTTTTAGTAAAGTCTTCCTTTTTTATTCAAAAAGCTGCTTGTTGCTCCTCTCATGTTGCTACCGTAGCCTAAAAGGGTCAAACCAAGCTAACTTTGCATTTTAACACAATAATTTGTAGTTAGATAGATTATCATGTTGGTTGTACTTTGGCATTATTATACATTTTTAAATCTTATTAAAACTTTCTGGTTTTATGCAACACACGTAAAAAGCTTGAAAACTGGCTGTTGTTCAGTTTTATTCCACCAGATGGCGCTGCCTCCTTCACACTCAACCCTGCGTCCTGAAACATCAGCAACTAATTTTTAATAAAGGAACAGTTTGGCTTAAAACCAGTTCAGGGAAGAGGAAGCAGGACCATCCTGAGGTGAAACTGTGCATTCTGCGTGTTCAGTGCTCACCTCTCCGTTCAGGAAACAGTACAGCAGGGCCACAACGAATCCCTGCAAAGGACAGAAACGTGACGCGTGGCCGTTACATCTTTTCTTGTTTTTATTTTGACAGATGTTCGTTCTAGTTGTACCTGGAAGGAGCCCAGACCGAGCTCGATGAAGATCCGAACCTCTGCTCCGGTGTTTTCTGGCAAGAAGGCGAACACCATGTAGTGCATCCCGAACAGGGGAATGAGCAGCAGCGTGGATTTGGCCAGTCTCCTACGCACACGCACACACGGTTGTCACACACGTGTCCCCTCATCCTCTGGTTGCGAGCGTGTTCATACAGTTGGATTTAACGTCTTACTTAAAGTGGCTCGTGTCGTTTCCACCGACTCCAGGAGACCTCAGCTTCTGGACCAGAATACGGATCACGTTGATGAAAATGATGAAGTTTACCTACGCGCACGCACACCACACACAAAACATTGGCTTTGTGGTTATTATAATGGTTGTATGAGTTTGTCCTGCTTCAGGAGCGGTCAGACATGATCTTCTCCTGCCTGGTCATGGCCGTCCATCATGTGATCAACGTCTATGAGCAGGACAGGTCCAAGACGGGACCGTTTTACCCTGGAGGGCTCCTTTGTTCCCTCTTCTGTACTCACCAGCAGGGATGCAGTTATCGGAGCTTTAATGATCCACCAGATGAAGGCCACATCTGTGTCATCCCAGCACCTGGGACACACACACACACACACGCACACACACACACACACACACACACACACGCACGCACGCACGCACACACACATGCACACAGACAACTCAACTCTGAAACATCTTGATGAAAATGTTCATCAAACAGCAGCCAACATGGCTGAAAGTCAGCTTTTAATAAATCATTTTCCTTTGACCTTTGAGCTAGACTTTTACTACTTTTAGCTTTTAGTTATACTTTAGTTAACTTTTTTAATTGTTAGCATTATTTTGCAGCTTTAATTTTTTACCAAGCTTTTAGCAACTTTTAACTATCCTTTTGCCATTTTAGGTTAGCTGTTTGCTACTTTGAACTTTTAATTTGCATATTTTTACTTTAGTATATATTATTATGATTGACTATTTGTTTTACCTGTTTGGTAATTTTAGCTAGCATTTTGCTTCTTTAGCATTTAGCTAGCCTTTTGCAACATTTAGATAGCTATTTATGATTTTAAACTGTCTGTTTGCCACTTTTAATTGGTCGTATGCTGCTTTTAGCTATCTCGCTTTAAACTTTAAAGTCAAAGTCAAATTTATTTATAAAGCACATTTAAAAGAGCAGCTGTTACCAAAGTGCTTAACAATAAGATCAAAGGCAGTAATTAAAGAAAAAAAATAATAACAAGATGTGATTAAAAGCATCAAAAGAAAAACATAAAAACACAAAAATAATGAAATAGTAAATCCGATCACACTGTGTTAAACGTGAAAACAGGTGTGTTTTTAGGAGAGATTTAAAAACAGGAAGTGAAGTGTCCTGTGTAATGTTGGGGGTCAGATTGTTCCAGAGTTTAGGGCCACAACTGAAAAAACCGAACTCCTCTGAGCTTCAACAAAAAGCAACTGGTCAGATGAGCTCAGAGCCCGAGAAGGAACATAAGGTTGAAGTAGCTCAGGGAGATAAGAAGGTGCGAGGCCATTTATGCACTTAACGGTCAACAGGAGAATATTAAAATCTATTCTGATACGTACAGGGAGCCAGTGAAGGGAGGACAAAACTGGTGACATATGATCAAACCTACGAGTTCCTGTTAAGATCTGAGCTGAAGCATTTTGGACGAGCTGGAGACGTAAAATGGAGACCTGACTGACCTCAACATAAAGTGCATTAGAGAAGTCTAGATGGGTCGTGAAAAGGCATGGACTATTTTTTCAAGGTCAGATCTGGTCAACACGGACTTAAGCTTAGCTGTCTGCCTTAAATGGAAGAAGCTTTTCTGCAGAACAGAGTTTATCTGTTTATTAAACTTAAAGTCAGAGTCTAAAACCATCCTGAGATTTGAAATAGACTGATTAAGATATGGCTGAAGAGAGTCAAGGTTTGCAGGAAGAGAGACAGCAGCTAGGGCTAAACACGACTTCAGTTTTCTCATTGTAGAAGCTTAAAAAATTTGAAGCCATCCATGCTTTAATGTCATCAAGACATTTTAACAGAGGCTGAATGGAGCTGGAACTGTTGTGTTTTAAGGGAAGGACCATCATCAGCATAGCAGTGAAAAGAAAGACCATGTTTCTCAGGATAAACCCCAAAGGGAGCAGGTACAGTGAAAACACAAGTTGTACAAGAATCGAACCCTGTGGGACCCCGCAGGAAAGTGGCACTGAAGCAGATAAACTTTAGCTTTATGCTAGCATTTTGCAACTTTTATGTAGCATTTTAGCTAGCTGTTTCATTTGTATAGGTCTAAGCTGGTGGTTAAGTACTTTGAGCTACTATTTTGCAGCTTTTAGCTGTTGGTTATACTTTTACCATTAACAGCTCAATTTCAGATTTTTCAGCAAATTCCACTAGCAATGCTCAGCACTCACACAATATTTTCACAAAAAATGCAGTTTTGTAGTTTTTTAAATAAACTCTTCTACTTTTGGGTATTTTCCCAACCAGCAGCAGCTCACCCCTTGTTATCGTAGAAGTTACGAGAGAGAATCCAAGCTGTTATGATTATTGTTGGCAGACCTGCAGGAAACAAACACAAAAACCCTCATCAGACAGCTGAAGTGGGAAGCTGGGAGCAATAGTACCATACCATACCACTTTATTTATAGAGCACTTAAAACAGTTACAAGGCCAACCAAAGTGCTGTACAGACAGAACAACAGGTAACACACAAAGCAAAATACAAAATGAGGTAAATCAGAATATAGACATAAAAACGATGCAGATAATGATGACAAACCAGTGTGGAGCGTACAGGTTCAAAACACAGATCCTCTGGTGTTGAAAGCTACTGAATAGTAGAGAGTTTTTCAACGGGACTTGAAAACCGAGAGGGAGGGGGGCCTGTCTGACAAGCAGAGGTAACTCTTTCCAAAGTCTTGGTCCTGCTACAGAGAAGATCCTGTCACCTCTGCGCTTAAGACGAGTTCCTGGAACTGTGAGGAGCTACTGGTCCGCTGACTTCAGGGAATGTGGTGGGACATACGGTTGTAGCAGATCAGAGAGATTGGGGGGACTGTTCAGTGATTTGTAGACATACATGAGTATTTTGAACTGGATTCAAAAGTGAACCGGTAACCAGTGCAGGGAGGCCAAAACTGGTGTAATTTGCTCTCTTTTGCCTGTACTGGTTAGTAGTTAGTAGTTAGTAGCGAGCGAGGCACCCACCCCAGCCGATGAGGATATACCACCAGAAGTACTTCTTCTGGAAGACGAAGGTGAGCGCCAGCAGCGTCTGCAGGTACATCCCTTCCACCAGCAGCCAGAAGTAGTTGGCCAAGATACAGAACTGGAAAAAGGCCACGGCTGATTTGCAGGCTGTCTGAAAAAAACAGAAAACTAAATGTCAGATAAGATGAAGAGCTTTTAGTTCAAAATAAAGAGAAATAAGGTCAATTCAACACGATGCACTTCCTGTTTGTTCGCACTCATTGGTTTGGCTTAAACTCCCCTTTCTCCCTCCCGCTCGGTGTAAATGTGTCACGATGCAGATCCTGCTCAGACACACCAGAGGGACGTTTAACACGCCGCTCAGCAGCTTCATCAGCAGAAACGTAGGAAGTGGAAAACCCTCATCGTTAACGCTCTCAGCTCTGCCTGTTTCTCATTTACCTCTTCCTCTAACGAGAACCTCTTCTAATAAAACAAGAGCACGCGCTAGAACGTTACAGCTGTTGATACGAAATTTAAAAAAACTCTTTCAGGAAATGAGAGCTTTTTCAAACACAGGTGTCTTTTTGTTTATCTGCTGTTTGATTACGGGGCGTGAGTCCATCGAGACGATCTGGACTCACGGTGGACATGAAGCAGTGGTCCAGGTTCTCATCGGAGAAGAGAACCACGTCTTTGATGAAGACAGCGCTCGCTCTCAGGATGAAGGAGAAGAACAGGTTGATGTGGATGTAGTTCCTGGTGCAGTGAAACTTCCTGTTTCAGAAAAACATTTTCTTTCATCTGCATACTACAACTGCTTATTAGAGCCGCTGTCAATAATAAAACAGTAATAAACGATGAAGGCTTGAAGGAAAATCTCAGAAATCCCAACAATTATGGAATAATTCATTTTAAAATCATAAATTTGCAAGAAAAATAAGAAAATGTCCTTGAATAATACAAAGATTTTGTGGAAATAGAACTGATATTCTCTGATATTTTAAAGTCCTACATGAGCAAGAAAATAAGTCTGAACTTCCAGAAAACAATTACTATGAATTACTAGAAAAAACCTTAAATGCTAACTGAAACTGTTAAATTGTGAATTTGTGAGAAAACAGTCTAAAGCAGATGTGGGAGACAACGTATGGCTCGGACAATCATCATACTTTTATTAATGTAAATATTTGTATTTGTTCATGAATGTTTGTGACTCGTGACTGCAAAATGTGTGACTTTCTAACATAGGAAACCTCTAAAAATTTACATTACCGTATTTTCCAGCATATAAGTCACATCAGTCAAAAAAGCATCATAAGGAGAAAAAAAACATACATGTTACTTCGGCACAAGTTATTATAAGTAGCATTTATTATGGGTCACTGCTGACCTGTCGCGTTTATTATGCATTTATTTAATGGTCAAAACAACTTCATTTCACCTGAGTGGTGCAACGCCATCCATCCATTCATCCATCCATTCATCCATCCATCGCAGCTGGAGCTGCAAACTCTCCATCGTTCCTCCACCTGCACCAGCTAAGTGAAGCGAGCGTGCACGAGAGGACTCGCGGCTGCAGTTCTTTGAATTTTAATTTAATTTTGTCAGTCAAACATTGTGTTACGAATATGGAAGAAAAAAAAACATATACAAGTGGCAGGACTAACAAATCTATGCAAAAACTGTGACTTATACGCCGGAAAATACGCTGTGACAATGTGGGTTTTTTCACAAATATAAGCCCCGCCCACCCGCTCTTTCTGTTTTTATTTTTGTTCACTGCGGCTCTAATCGTAGGACACATTTCCAAATTTGAACACAAGTAAAATCTTGAAAAATACGAGCGTTACCTGAAGACAGTGAAGACAAAAATCGCTGTTATGAGAGAAATGAGTGAAGTGGCGTAGCCGGCGGTGTACACCTGTTTAAAGTTGGAGAAATATGTCGTCTGGAAAGAAAAACGGATAAATTCATGATAGCATTGTAACATTACACAGTCCCTGTCTCTGCAGTCAGAAGATAAAGTCAAAGAGATGGACACTGCTGAGTTTGTTATCGGGGAGGTGGACGTAGCTTCTGCAGCAGGCAGAGCAACAATCTGTGGTTCTATCTCATGTTCCCACAGACCTGAAGACCTTCTTTGATCAGGAGATTTGTTTGACTGAAGAATCAAAGTCAGAGATTTTACCAAATGTCAGTAGACAGGATGTGCTCTGAACCTCTCTGCAGGTCATCACTGCAGGCTCAGACTCAGATCCTTCAACGTGCGCAGTAAGACGCTGGACTTTTTGTATCAGTCTGCGGCGCCATCTACTGTGCCGTGGTCTACTGGGGGAGGGGGGACCATGGACGCCAGCAGGCTCAAGAGCTTCATTACAAAAACTGAAAAATCACCAGGCAGAATATGAAGACATCTGAGTCAGTGCGGGACTCCTCAGAGGATTTCTATTGCAGTCGTCTTTTCTAACAGATCCACAGGGATCTCGCTCAAATCATCTTCTGGATTTATCTCCGGCTCTCAGTGGCTCGTACCCTCCATCGTCCCGAGGCAAAGACTCATCGAGAATCCAGCGAGAGCTATACCGCTTTTTTTGTTTCAACCGGAAAAAAGTCTAAGAATCTGGGAGTCTCATTCATGAATTATGAGAGGAAGGTGAGGGTCAGGGGTCCACTGATCAGGATCTCATATTCAGTAATGAGGACATTGCTTTGGTCTGTTGGAGTGAAGGGCCTGCTCAAAGACAAAGCTCCGAATTTACTGCTCCATCTACATTCCAACCCTCACCTCTGGCCATGGGTCTTCCTCTGCAGGGTGACCGGACTCAACGAGCTGCTGCTCTTCTTGATTGAAACGAGCCAGCTGAGAGGGTTCACGCATCTGGATAGGATCTCCCTTTGGAGATTTTCCAGGTGCATCCCACAAGGAGACCTCAAGGAAGACCCAGTACTAACTGAAAATATTATATACCCTCTCTGAACTGCAAACATTTTCCGCTCCACCAAGAGAAATGAGAGTGAGTCACCTGTCTGGCTTCCCTTCTGGACCTGCTGCCTTTGGTACCAAACCACGAATAAGAGGAGTAAACGGACGGATGGATGGAAAAGTGCAAGCAAATCCCTTGAAGCATTCTTATTTTTCTTATGGTTGACACAAACACTCTACTTTTAAGACTATGTGTCTAAAATGTTCTTTTTTTCTGTTCCTTCCTGGCTCAGGTGATCCTGAACAGTCATTGCTGCTGGTTACTTTCTGTTTGTGTGTGTGTGTGTGTGTGTGGGGGGGGGGGGGGGGGGGGGGGGGGGTGCAGATATTCCATCACATCTCATTTTGCGTTTTTCTTTGTTTCTCTCCTGAACATGAAAACGGCACCAAAACGAGGGGCTAACACCTTTACCTGTGGTTCTTCGTCTTCACTTTCTGCAAACTCGCAGGCCTCCCCGTAGGCTGGGTAGAGCTCGGACCATCCTTCCTCGGTGCAGTTCCTGTGAACGTAACCTAGAAATAAATTTTTAAAACACACAGGCGGAGTTTAGTGCCTTGGACAGAACAGAGACAAACAAGAGAGCACGCAGAATTTAAAATCTGAACTCATATCCTTGGTTTGAAGTAGCAGCACCCGTTGGCGCCAACCTCGTAAGTCTTTGTGTCCAAGATGCAAAGTGATAACCTCAGACATTAATTTTAAACTACCTCCAGGTGTGTAGTGAAGGAGCTCGACCAGGTGAACGCAGCAAATCTCGAATTTAAATGAGAAAATTTAAAGCTACGTTCTCCCACGTTAGCCTGGAGTTAAACTGACGGAGTTCTTTAAATGTCATGGTGCACAGAAAGGTTTCCAGGTGCTCAGAGTGGTTTTCAGCAGAGGACTCAGTGAAGGTTTGAGCTGCTGTCCAGCTCCTCAGCGTGGGGGTTTAAGCTGTGGGTGGTAGTTTTTTTAGATTTCCAGCCACAGAACAGCGCAGAGCCTGCAGCCGTAGCGATGTGATGTAGATGTGATATAAAGTTTGAAGGCCGAGGCTCTGAGGGACGAAGCGAAAAGCTCAAACTGCTGCACTTAACAAGCAGTGCCAACTCCCTCCTCACGCTCCTGGCTCTTCACTGAACTCTTTGATTTTCCAATTCATTATTTTTTCTGCCGAGTCCCATCGGAGAGGCCGGCTCAACCGCGCAGCTACAGCGGTGGACTCACTGAAGGTATCTGCGGAGGAGGAACTCCAGGGGGGTCCAGGAACCCACTAACACTGAGTTATAAGGTCGTCCACAACAACCTCCGCATCCTGACCCCTTTCACGCCAAAATGTTTTCCCAACTTTTACTCGCAGCCTTCTGAGAGGCGTTAGTGCTGGGAAACAGTTGAGCGCATCGTTTCAGCTCCCACAGATTCTATAACCTCTCCGCTGCTGCATCTCCTGTTCAAATCGACAACATTCACACCGACAGAAGCGTTCGTGACTCATCCCGACGCCCAGGTTTTAGTGGTTTATGGTCATTTAAGAAGCACAGAAGCCCATCCTAACAAATGCATCATATCTTGTCGTGCTTTTCAAACAAATCTTTAACTCAGTCTGTGCACGAGATTCAGTTTCATGTCAAACAAACAAAACAAAAAATAATTATCTTATGAACACAGCAGCAGAATAAAACTTAAAAAGTGTGTCTCCTTGTCTTTAACTAACAAAATTAAACAAGGAAGTATAAAAATATTATTTATTATTATTTACATAATATAACAATTGGGGTTTTAGGCTCATAAAACCAGTTTTTAATCTCTCATGGATCTAAAACAAAAAAATCAGTATTACAGTAGTCCCTCATTTATTGCATGGGATCTGTACCCAGAAGACCCGCGATACGTGAAAAACCGCAAAGTAGGAATAGTAGTACAAGTAATAAGTAGTAGTTTATTTAGTGTTTATATAAATATACATAGAGGGATTTTAAACCCTTCCCACACTCTTGCAATATTCTAAGTAATGTTTCTAAACTCTAAAAGCTCTAAAAGAGCACATAATGTCATGATTTCAGCTCTCTGCCACCTGAAAGCGCTCTTGGCCACGCCCACTTCTCCGCTCTGCACACAAAATATGTGATCAGCTGTTCAGCTGCAGCAGGAAGTTTACCCTGCAGCTCTGGGCTGCACAAATGTGCAGCAGGTGCTAAATAATATAAAATAATTTATTTTAAATATAAGTTCCATGCCGATCCTACAGCTCATCCATCAATCAGCCAATTGTGTGTCATGTCCAATCTTGTTTTGAAAAACCGCGATACACCGAATCCACAATAAACGAATCGCAAAGTAGCGAGGGACTACTGTATATATTGTTCAAGGTCTTTTCACTAATCTTAAGGTCTATTAATTGTTAGTTATGTTAGGTTTCTTTTTTTTTATTATTTAAGTAGATTTCATTGTAGGGATCAAAAGATTAGATGAATGGCTGGAATCCTATAGTCAACAATCTCACTGCTCCGAGGCGTTCTTCCTATTTGGTTTGTTTCGATCCGGGCTACAAAACTTTCAGTTTAAGTTTATTTAAACTGTTCTTAAGATGTTTTAGTCCTTTGAGCAATTCTTTGACATGGAGACAATAACATTTTTGGGGGCTCGTCCGGATTTTGAAGACCTCATGCTTAAAACACAGGTTGTGATGTATTTTTTTTATTTTAATTCATTTTTTACTTTTGGGAAATAAAAAGTACAATTTAACTTAGTTAATTTCATGTTCAACTCCATCTCTAAAAAGAGCTTCTAAATAAATCAGCTGACCTTTGATCTCAACTGTTTCTGGTTAAATTAAATAAACATTGTTAGTAAACCACTTAAACAGAACATGACGACAAAATAAACAGCCTTGGCAAACATTTTTCTGTTTTTATATATGTTTGACTGTTTTTATTCTCATGCAACAACTATAACAAAAATATCTTGACAAATCTGGGAACCACTCATGATCCGTAGCTGTGTTAGTAAAATAAATCAAATTAAATAATCGGTAAATATACCTGAAAGTTTTATTACAAAACAGAATTACTGCGAATTCTACGTTGTTTGTTGTTAAAATTTGTCGTTTCAGTCCTAAAATGCCGTGATTGTATTTATTTGTCCTTTCATTGTGCATGTTTCTCATTTTTTTGTTCTGTTTAGACAAGCCAGCTGGATCAGACAGGGGTCCGGAGAAGACAGGGGTCAAATAAACACGGGGTCAGACTAGAAATGTGACTCCTCATCCCAGAGGATCTCTAAATATACAACCGAGTTGGAAACCAACAGATGGACGATCCGAGCGCACCATAACATTAAAGTTAAATCTGTTGGTCGTCTTTGCAGGAGAAGATATCATCTGGATTCAAAATATAATTCTCGTTTCATAAGAAAAGCCATGACTTCCTGATCAGGAAGAGTTCAGGAACAACCAGCAGGATAAACCAGCATGGCTGCTGGCAGGATTATTAATCTCTCCTCTCCATCGTCTCAGACAGCGCTGATGATGCATAATGAACTGAAACCGTCACGGAAACAAAAAATAAATACACAGTGTTACAAAATACAACCTTTTAATGAATGAAGACCCTCGACGATCCAGATGTTTGACAGCTGACTGCTCTGTGCTTACCTTGGTTATTGGCAAACAGCTGGGAGACGTTGGTACACAAGACGCTGACCACCTGTCCCACCTCCACACGATGCCAACACCGAATGTTGTCCCAAACGGTCGGGCAGCCTGAGACACAAAGATGTTCGTTATTAGACAAACGAACCAGGTACCGCACCTGTCGCTTTCTGCTTCTGTGGAGGGGCGGAGTCTAACCGTTCTGAATGAATCATTTTAAGCTTCGGCCTCGTGGTTCTGGAGGAGTTCTGACCCACTCTTCTTTCCATCATTGCTTCAGTTTCCGTTCATATCTCTGAAGGTCAGGCTGAGGTTCTGGACTCTGACTGGACTCGTTGGTTCTGTTCCTTCTGACCCGTTCTGTTGTAGATCAGCTGCTGTGTTTGGGATCATGGTCCTGTTGGGCCCAGTTTGGTCCAAACTTCAGCTGTTGGACAGATGGACTCACATCTGACTCCAGAACCCTTTGGTCTACTGAGGAGTTTGTGGTCCACTCAGTGACTGGCAGGAGCCCAGACCATCAGCCCTCCACTGCCGTGCTGATAGCTGAGCTGTTTTCTGCAGTGCATTCTGGGTAAAAATAAGTACTTTTGTCTCTTTTTGTTCCAGACGTCTTGTGGTTCCTTCAGATGAAACTTTACAAACCTGTCATGCTGCCACGTCATTTTGTCTCATACAACCCTTTCAAACAAGCCATGACCTTTGACCTTTAACCTGCTAATTGAGGCCTGTAGAGTCTGGGATGGAGCTCATTTCTCTGAGCACTGCACGGTCTTTGGACTCGAGGTTCGATTAACCAGATTAAATGTTAAACTGAAGAGGGCGACGCCTCTGTGCAGTCAATTTAACAACAGATGCATTTTATCTCTGCGTCTTCATTTTTATGCAACGCACTTAAAATTCCATCAGCAGCAGTTTGCTTTGACCTTGAGTCCAGGTCCTTCAGAAGCTGCTAACGAACCATTTTACTGCCGCAGAAACTCTGATTTTAGTTTTTAAAGGGTTTCCCTGCCTGCGAAGGAGAAGGGTGCGTGCTTTCATGACGTCCTCAGCTGTCCTCTCCTCCTCCATCACAGAGCTGACGATGTGAGCGTATTCATGTGCGTGTGATGAGAGACGGCGTTAACGAGGCGTCTGTCACTCCGCGGCCTCACATCGCCTCGCACATCAAAGCTCCTCGGCCCTGCGTCAATTAAAGCAGCCGCGCGGAGCGCCACAGCGCCGCTCATTCATAATAAAACAGCTCCTGGCTGCTGCTGCAGGTCCTCCCGCCAAAAGCTGGGAAGACGCAGACATCTCACCAGAAAAATGAAGCTTTGAAATCTGCTTCTATTTAATTTTTCTCTCCGTCGTTATATAATTACACTCAAACCAGCTGCAGAACATATTTTTATTTATCTCATGTGCCAGATAGTGGTGTTGGCAGCAACCTTTGTGACTTTCAGACGGGATGAACAGACTCGTGCCTTTCAGCAGGTACTGATCATCGTCTTTACACCGACGATGTTGAGCACATTCTCAGTAAATCCCTACAAAAAGGCACAATCTTGAAGGATCAGTGGTCCATGAGACGGATGAGGGACGTGGAAAGGACACAAAATGAGGCAGAGCCAGCTAGTGTGGAAGGACATGTAAAATAAACACGAGTTACTGCTGCTTTTCTTTAAGTTTAAAATAAAGTGTTTGTTTTTGGACTGATCTGGTGACACCACTCCCTGCTGAACGAAATGGGAAGAATGCTGACAACCAGGGAAGAGATGCACAAACAGGGAACGCGGCATCTATTGTTCTCGTGACAGAATGTTTCAGTAACAGAAACTCTTCCATAGTCAAAAACAACTCCATATAAGGAAGCTGTAAACTGTTGCTGGACAGAGATGAAATAGCAACGTGCGCTACGATAACTTGCTTTGTGACATCTCTGGGTGCCATCTTCAGCATGAATACTCTGTGTGGATTTGCTCGCTCAGACGCGACCTTCTGATGGCTGTCTCTGTGACTGGCTCCGTAAGCGTCTCCTTCCAGCTGGAAGCTTTAATAAACCCTTGCATGTATTCTGATATTATGGTCTCTGGCTTATAATTGTGTCTTTTCTCCATATGCATGAACTGATGAGAGGACTTGAGTGTCATTTGACTGAGTAAATTGTGGCCTTAACACTAGGCAGGAAAAACTAAAGTCATGGGAGTTTAAAGACAAAAGGTAAATAAATCTAGAGAAATTGCATTTCCTGTGAAAACGCAGTATGAATACTTGTTGCAGAACTTGCTGAAAACCAGCTGAGATTAGTTAAAAACGTGCTGAACTGAAGCTGAAATGGATGAACAAGGCAAAATTATCAGAAAAAAGGAGAACAAACACATTTTTTGCTGAATTATCCAACAAAGTTCAATCAGGTCATGTGGACAGTTTCTTTTTTGTTTATTTTTTATTTGTTTCAACCTTTATCCAAAGGACTTCTTCAGTCTGAGGAGCCACAAACAAAGTGTGCTGTTTGTGGAACTGTTTGTTGGATCCTCGGATTGATGAAGTCCTTTGAACGAAGGAGGGAATGTCTCAACAAAAAAAAAAAGAACCCGTCCAGATGATCTGACTGAACTCTGTTGGATTTTTTATCTGGATTATTGAGCATGAACGTTGATGTTTACTGAATTATGTTTGCATAAGAATTGGGAAAGTAGCTAAAAAAAAAAAGCTGAAATTAGCACCAAAAAAATAGCTGAAAAGTAACTAAAAAGCAGAAAGAAGCTAAACTTACCAGAAGGGAGTAGAGAGCACACTTTACATGAATTAGGCTGAAAAAAGTTGAAATGAGTGAAAAAATGTGGAATTAGCTGAAAAGGCTAAAATTGACATAAAATGCTAAACAGAAGCAGAAAAAGCTGAAACTTGCAGAAATAAGCTGAAAGGAGTATAACAAGCTGAAATTAGCAGGAAGAAGTTAGAAGAAGCACAAAAATGTTGTCGTTAGCAGAAAGAACCTGAAAAGAGCATAAGATAAAACAGCTGAAAAAACAGCTGAAATTTTTGAAATTTTTTAAATTAGCAGAAGGAAGCTGAAAGAAGCTGAAGCAGGACAAAAAGTGAAGGGAGCAGAAAAAGTTTGTAAAAAGATCTAAAGATTTGAAAGATGTAAAATGAGCTCAGTTCATTTTCTATGAGAACAAAATGGCAGAAAAAGCTAAATATTTCAAAAAGCTAAAGTTGCGCCAAAACCAAACGTCATAGCAGGATTGTCCTGAGCGAGCTGAACGTTTTGATTTATGATTTGTTGAACTAGAACAAAAACTGTGGCACGAGAAAGATGCTGAAAAATGTATGGATGAAAACTGGATCGCAACAGAGCGAATGCTCCGTGAATAGTCACACAACAAACACCAAAGACCAGCAACATGATGGAACTAGATTCTGACAAATGAGGTGAAGAAAATTCAAGGCGATATAGATATCTGGAATATTTTAAAGATTACAGAAAGTCTGACAGAAAACATTAAAGAAATGAGAGATGGATTAGGACAGGATGGTTGCCATAATAATACTTGTAATTGAGTCTTTAAGGCTCAATGGGATTTATATGTATAAATAAAGGTTGAATGGATGAATAATGGTGCATGTTTTGTCAAATGAACTCTAATGGTTTCATCAGTTGTGCCGTGTCAAGGTGGTCTCAGTAACACAGCGGTCTATAATTAGATTATGGACGTGTGTGTTGCTTGTTTGAAAAATGCTGAAAGTTTAGCCGATGCTGTGATGAAGCTTTCAGGAGAACTGCCTCGGGAAGAAGCTGAGAAATCAAAAACGGCAGCTCAGGTTGACGGGAACGCTGCTGCTCCTTCTCAAATTCACACCCTGAACTGAAAACTCTGCCTTTTCGGACTCAAAGTGATCATTTTAATTTATTCTAAACAGATTACAGCTGCAGTAACAGTTTCAGACAGACACAATAACAAATCCAGGGAAGGACTTGGCCACAGAGAGCAGACTGTGGCCCGGTTCGTGCGCAGCTGCAGCCCGATGTGACTCACTGGATTGTTTTTGAGCTGTGAAAGGTCAAACTTGATTCTACGGTATTGAGGCAATTTTTCTTTTGTCTAACCCGCTCCACCGCGACATTTCCCAGTCCGATAAAAAGCACCTGCCAGAAATTATGAAGAAAGATTTGTCATTTTTGAAGGTGAGCACGAAGAGGAAACTAGGATTAGATCAATAAAATGTCAGCCACAACATAAAGTCTTTATTTCCTCCTCAAAGCTTTAAAGATTTCCATCACATCCGTGTGTTTGGTTCAGTAAAACATTCAGGTTGTTGCAGAAATCAGTGAGAAGCCTCCACTGGGACCTTTACTACTAAACAATAACACAACACATTCGGGCAGATTATTCTCTGCGTTCAGTTACTTCACGTTGAGCAAAAGAGCGAAAATTAAAGTGTTTTCATCTAAAATGGAAACTAGTTTGTATTTACTCAGTTCAATTTATTCAAAAATAAAAAAAATAAAAACAAGCCAAAAAAAAAAAATAATTAACACAATCCTTGATTTTTGTGTTTGTCATTTGAGATATATTTGATAATTATAACAGCTGCATTGTTCCTTTCTTGAATTAGTTCATCTTCATGCATTTCTAGAATTGCGCCGCTCAGGGTGGCTGCATGTTGGAGTGGCTCTGTTACTTTCATTTGGACTTATTGCTTTTGAAAACATTAATTCTTTTTTTCTGGAAGTAAATCGCTTTTTTCGGATGATTATTTCCTCTGATATTGGATGCTGTGCAGATGGAAGGATTTTTACTGAAACCTTTTTACTTTTGGGCATTTGTTATGATGTGTAACCATGGCAACAGGTTGATTTTTTTTAACAACTAGGAGCAGCTGATTAACATCTCAAAAGCTCAAATACTTTAACTACAGCCCCAAATCCCAAATGAGTTGAAAAGGAGGCGCCGCGGATGAATTCCCGTCAACCTGGCAGCGGTGCTCGAGTACCTGACTACGAGATCCTGGAGCTGGTGAGAGACTCGGCTCGTGACAACAGGAGGACCGGGATCATCCCTGGCACCTTCAGCTGTCTGTCCATGGTGACGAGAAGCTCAGCAGACTGCTGGGAGGAGTGA